GTTTGGTCTCCATAACGTGCAACTCAGTACTTTTTCTGGTAAGAGTATCAGGAAGGACGTCTGATCAGGCTAATTATTTTTGGTGCTGTTTTCTAAATTTCATAAATTATGAAATTTAACTTTTCATTGTATAGGTATAATGTAAATACATCCGTGGTCTGCTGTTACAGTCGCAGAAAAGACTATTCTCAGGGAAAAAATATCAGTGATATCTACAGGGAAAAAAAGCTCTTCAGAAATTGAAATTCTATTATTACAAAAATCAAATAAAACACACTCTCAGGCTTTAAATTCTGAAAGGCACACTAAAATGAATCCTAAGTTTTTTGTCAGGGGACAAACGTTACCAAAAAAGTATTTTGGATTCTGAAAAATTCCACATTTGGACAAAAAAGTTTTTTGTAGTAGAATAAGCTTGTTGACGTTCAGTTATAGTAAAAGCTAGTTTAAATTTAGGTACAAAACAAAAATGTGTGTCCAAGAGCCAGAAGATTGGGAAAAATGTTGTATCAATTGGATTTTTAACATCAGTTCGTTGTAATAGTTTAAGTTGTGATTCAGGACAGTTAAGGATATGTGATTTTAATTTTTTTTCAGTTTATCACCCCTCCTCCTCAGTATATGAAATTGCTAACATTTGATTTGCCTTTTTAAATGACTGCTGCCTCTCTGTTTTATCTTAACCAGAGTAGGAAATGGAAGGCAGGAGCTCTGGATCCCCATCTCACAGCCCAGTCACAAGACCGAGAGTGGAGGCCAGAGTGGGAGTCACAGATCCGCACAACTGCAGACAGTACATCTTTGCTCTGAGACCAGTATCCAAAAAGAGATTTTAAATTAAAAACAAACAATGGTTTTATGGTTTTAAGTGCAAATCTTGCTGGAAAATAGGAGAAATCTGCTGTAATACTGTGAAGGGGGAGCAGTTTATCCTAGAGGCAAAGGTTTGAATCCTAGATATGTCACTTGGGTTAATAATGTGCCCCCCAAAATTGCATTGTATGAGCTCTATGAAAAGAACACGGGAAAGATCTGAGTTTAATTGAACGTATGCAAACCTACTGCTTTTCATGATGTGAGATAACAAAATATTGTTGACTCAGCTATAAATATGCTAAAACTTTTTAGCCAAGTGAAGTAGGGATAAATGTGAGATGCAGAGGAAATATGAGGCAGCAGTTATCATTGGTACGTTTGTTACGAAGAAGCAGAAAGCCAAATCTAGTTTTATTAGAGAAAGAAGAAGGAAAAAAAAAACCCTCACCGAGCACCTGACTTCTTTAAAAGGCCCAAGGATTCCTAGTAGGAGTCTGATGCTCGTCTGATGCCAAGGAGTGAACCCTGGGTTTAAGTTTCACCTGGAGTTTGTAACCTGTGATCCCAACACCTGTAACTATGAGCACTGGAACCGGATGTCTCCTACGTTTGGCCAAATACAACCTCTTTGTGTTTTACTCAAAAAACCTGCCCGGTACTAGAGAACAAACTGAACCCGAGTAATTTGAATGCATTATCTCCACAGCTGCGGGTATGCAGAAACAGTGGCAAGAGGGGCAACTGAAGAGGACCTGCACCCTGGGACACAGGTGGGACAAGGCTGTCACTGTGCAGCATGCTTCCAATCTACAGAAGGTCAGCGGAATTTCTGCTGTTAGTAAGGATTTTCTCCTTAGCAAGCACAAGCATGCATCTCTTCTGGAAGAAGCAGAAAAATGCCTGGTAGATATGGGAAAACCCTCGGCACCATGAAGACTACTGGACTACATACTGTAGTGGCCGTGCACAAAGCCATCATGCATATAGAAAGGAAATAAAAGCTGGTCTCCTTCTTTGCATGAAATATCAGTTATTTTTGCCACCCTCCTAAGAATATAGCTATTTTCTTTCAGTAATAAGGCCACAAAAGTTGGCAAAATATCAAAAGCCAAGGCCTAGATTCAGTTTTCCTAGCATGTTCCAGTTTGAATCAGGACTTCAGTTATTTTCACAGGTATTTTAATTTAATGTCAACTTCCTTTATTGTTTTACTGAACTTCACGAGCTATTAAATTTCTGAACCTACATTTCTCAGCTAGCTATACTGGACTTCTAAGAAGTCTACTGCTTTGTGGTACCAGCAAAGGTGAAATTCACACAGCAGAAAACTGCACAAAAAGATTTCAGTTCTCAAAGCTGAGATACCCATATTTGCGTGATTTTTGTAATGAGAGCTGACAGGTTTGCCCTTCATGAGGGCTTATGGGAATCCATTAGGCCTTGAATTCAAAGGATATATTTTGAACCCTGGATGTAAATGGGTGGCTTTAATACAATTTGATTTTCAGATTAGCTGGGAGTTTGCAAAGTTAGTAAGTACTCTACAGTGAACAGAGCTGATTTAATGTACACCAAATACAACCAACCCTAGACACTTTACAGAAAGGCCAGCGCTGTATCCCAAGTCAGATGGGTTTCCCTAGAGCATCTGGGGCAAGTAAATGGTGTAGATGTATTACAGGTTGTGAAATATTTTTCTCAAAATACCATCTCTTTCCCCTTCCTCAGTTCCTTCTATGTTCATTTACCTTTTTTTTGCCACTCTTTTCTACTCTCTTCTCCCTTTTAAAACTCTGATTCGCCTTTTAAAGTTTTCTTTTCTTAAATTTTGACGAACTTTTTTAAAATTCTGATTTTCATTTTTATTTTTCGTTTTCCTAAAAAAAATGTAAGCCAAATGGCACTGCAATTCCAATCAAACTTCCCAACCACATCTTTTCCAATAAACTTCTAATGAAGCAGAAACATCCATTCATGCACTTCCTGATAATGATTAAAGCACACTGAAATCAGTTTACACTGGCTTAGACTCTGGCTTGGTTCAGTCACATGTCTTTAATTACGCTGCTTATGAGCGAGGCCAGTAAAACAGTCATTTAGTTTTGAATTTTATGCCATAAATCCTGTCTTCTGAAGCAAAGACCTGTGAACAGGGCATCCTGCAGAGTTAGTTTCTCATCAGCACAGCGTGTTTTGCTGCTGCCATCTCTTGGCAAAAGGGACAGCTCTCCTGCAGTTGTCCTGATTGCTCCTGACGTATTTGCTTATCTTTTCTCTTTAATGGTATCAGTACAGGGGTTTGTTCATTTTTGGGTTAGATAATTTATCTATTAAAGTTTTACAATGTGCTGCAAATTAGCCAGTTGCAATTCATTCACACAAAAAAAAATTAGAAGATATTGCAAATCTAAAAACTAGTATTTAAAACCAAATATCCTTTGTATTACTAAACATTGTATTGTTACACAACACCTTACATATATTATTAAATGTAGCTGTTTAATATCAGTTATTCAGGTCTGGACCTGATTCTGTCTTTAAGTTCATATTTACTAGACCTTCCCATTTTGATACTTTAAAAATTATAAAATCATTTACATTATTTTTTAAGCTCCTACATGTGTGGTCAAGTAACATGGTGATGTTCTCCCAACCACCCTTCACCCCTACATAGCCAGTATTTGAAAGCGATACAAACCCGCCTATTTTTCCTAAACATTTTTGTTACGGCACTTAAGTCTGTGGAGTCTGAGGTGCTCTGATGCTCACTTAAGCATATTTTAGCTGACTGAAACACTCTAAAATCCTGTATCACTGCTGCAGATGAAGATGAAGCGGCTGGTGCAGGAGGCAGTGGTGTCGGGTGCTCTGCAGGTGGGAGGTCTAAGCGAAGCCAAGCTGTGGCCCTGACCGCTGACTTAGACTCTTCAAAGTAAGGACACGGTGCCAGGATTTCTTGAAAACATGAAAACTTGTAATAAACACCTATCCTTAAACTAGGCTACTGCATGAGCTCACCAAACACACCAAGGGCCTTGGGACAGACCGCTCTGGGAGCCCAGGGCCACCAGGGGAAAGTAACCTTCCTAAATGAAAGTATTATTATTCTACAAAAACAACAGCAGGAGGAGAAGAGGAAGGTTACAAAGCAAAAAGCTGTGCCTGAGTATCACAGCCTTTTCCTGAAGAGGCTGGCAGCCTCCAACCCCGTGATGCCAAGCCTCCCTGCAGGCCAGGGCTAAGCAAAGCAGCCACGCTCCCGCAGTCCAGGTCTGACAGAACCAGCTCAGAATCTCTTCCACCTTTTTTCCCCTGGGAAATCAGACATTAGTCAATCCACTTTTTTTATTTTATTTTTGTCTCCTATGCCAAGAGTACTCCCAGCAGTCGGTCCACCCCGTGACTGAAGCTCTGCCTCTGGGGGGAATGGTAGCTTGGTCTCCCCAAATGCCACCGCGCCCCTCAGCCCCTTGCCGCCCTGCTGGCGGGGGAAGGCCGGGGGCGTTTCTCCCCGCAGGAGCCAGGGGCGCAGGGATGTGGGGACACGGGCCCCGCTTCCCACCCTCATAGGTGCCGGCAGGGGCTCCG